CTTTAAGATTGTGAGTTCGAATCTAAAATAAAATATGAGAATACATAACTTCCCATTAACCCTTTTTTTCCTGATAACTACCTAGTCCAATTTCTCCTTTACCTTGTTAGGGTCACGATATCATATGTTATTATTTGAATGACTTGTTATATGATAGATAAACAAAATTAAATTTATCTAAACATTCTTTTAAGGAAAATATTTGAATAAAAGAAAAATTCAAAAAAAAAGTGTCGGTGCAGTGACTCATGAACATGTGATCGTAATAATAAGACATATTTTGGGAAAAAGAAAAAAATTTGGTAGAAGAGATAAGGTGGGTCCTAAAATGGTAGTGGGGATATTTTTTTTGGTGCAGGTGGGAATTGCAACAGCACTAGGGCCATACATGGAGTTGGTGAGGGAAGCTCAGCGAGAGATAAATATTGGGAATTTGAAATATGTGGATGCCAAAGGGTTGCAGATCGGGCCAGATTATACGCACCTTACTACTGCTGCACAAATTCAGCTTGGACAGATGCTCGCTGATGCCTTCCTCCGCCCCAATTAGATGTTGTTGACCTGCTTGGTTCACCTAAAAATAGTGTAATTTCAGATTTCGATTGAAAAATTGCAACTATTTCAGAAGAAATCAGAGGGATAGAAGAATGTTGTTACTCTTACTTCACATTTTCTCCCCGCATGTAACATTATTAAAAAGGAGTGAACAACTCTATTTACATGGGCTACAAATTTCACGCAGTGAGCCTATGCTTATTGTTTTCGTTCCTTCTCGAAACGAATATAATATATAATTGGTTTGCCTCATGTTATTTTATTTTCTATGTTTGTATGGTTTTTTTTTCTTTTACACACACGTGGCAGTAACATGCAAGTCAATTTTTCCCAAGTTTGTCTATTGGTGAATCTTTTGAAAAAATCGTCACATAATTTAGTGACTTTAGTAAGATAAAATTATTGCAATTTACTAATTATTGTTGATATTATGGTTAAAGTTTAATGACCACACATGAAATTAATTTGATTGATATATTTCATTATAATTATTGATTATAAGAAAATGAAAAGCGATGTCTTCCTTCCTAAATAGCAACTGAATTTGTTTAATCATATAAAGTCCGGTATTACTAGAAAGGATAGTCATAAACCTCTTATTGCAAAATTGTTTATATGTGAAAACCATTAAATATATATTCCACATATTTTGCTCTATGAACCCAGTGTATCACAAGTATAGCGCTCTCATATATTTTTATGTATAGCACTCGTATATATTTTATATTACTCCTTTCAGCTCCAAATTATTTTCAAATCACTTTTAGCCATTTTTATTATCACTATATAATCCCCCCCCCCCCCCCCCCCCCCTTTTTAATTAGATTATATTTAAGAAATATCTCAGAATAAAATTTGTTTGATGCCTAACACTTTCTCATAAACATAGAGCCCGTTTGGATTGGCTTAAAAAAAGTAGTTTTTAAGTCAAAAATAAAAATCAAATTGAAATGACTTTTAAGTCAAAAAATAAAAAGAAAGGGGGGGACCTACTTTTGGTTTTTGACTTATTTTAAGTCATTTTTAACCTTGTCAAACACTCCCCAACTTATTTTAAATTATTTTTTATAATTATCAACACTTCCAGAAATCAAAAACTGACTTAAAAGTAGGTTTGACCAACTTTTAAATCAATCTAAACACTCTCATAGTTTACACTTACAAATGATTTTCCTAGAACTAAGGTGGTAAACTATTTTGACATGTTTGATTTTCCTAAAAATAAGGTGGTAAATTATTTTGACCTGTTGAATTGCCTATGTGATCGCTAACAAAGTTGATGTTGATTATATATGTTATTAGCATGTATCCGTAGAGAGACTAGAGTGTATGAGGTAAGAGCTATAATTATGTAAAGTGCATTTTTTATAGATAACTACAAAGTAGTAGAGTCCTACACCAATTCTATTTTACACCTAATGTCCTATAATTTATCCATTATATGCCATTTTCTTATATAATACTAGTACGCAAGAAATAAGATCTAACAGTTTGATGATACATAATGTTTTCATCTTACTTGTTTTCTTTACCAGAAAGAAAATGACTGTCTATTTCTTCTATTGATAAATATTCTGTGCAGACTCTCGGCAGAAGACTTGCTCCGTTGCCAACTAGTGTGCACACAATGGAATTGTTTAATCTCGACACCACAATTCAACGACATGCATTTAAATGGCGGTGCTGCAGTCCCTACCATTATTGTCGACCAATTCGATAAAACAGAGTGGGACATGAAAATAGTGTTTATCGATGATTGGTATAAAAAGAGTTGGGGGATTTTTAGAAGGAAGAAAAAATTCAGACGTAGTTGCACTTGTAAATTAATGAATTGTTGGTTTAGTGATATCTTCTCGTATCATGGGTTGCTCTTAGTTACTGTATATATTACGACTCGAAAATGAGGCATGTAATCTTCAACCCTATCACTGGAGTACAACATAGCTTTCACATCCCACATACTACTATTATTACGGCATTGGGGGAAGATATTTGGGAACAACGAAACAAGAATTCATAATTACTTAGGATTAGCATGAGGTGGATTTTGAAAGGGGCTGGAAAAAGCTTAATTTTATAGTATTTCCTATTGCAATTTGCCCTGCTCCTATTGTGAAAACAGATGCTAATTATTGGATGGCTGAGGAACTGCATCCCGCTAATGATAGTGTTGCGGAGTGTATGTGATAGTATTTGACATAAAAAAGGAAGAATTTGATGTGGTATCACATCCGGGAGAGAGATATTGTTGCCAGATTTTAGAAAAGGAAAACGTCCTGTCATTCTGCGTGATTACTTTTCACGCTGAAGAAATAGTAAAGTTGCAATTGTGGGATCTGGAAGATCAATACACGACAATCATTCTTGATATTAAGCGATTTCCCTTTAATGGTTTTTTAAATTTAGCTGTAAAAGTGGTTGGCACACTAAATGGGGAATTGATTATTAGTTGGCTGTGGAGAGGAGTCTTTGCTTACCATCTTCACCTAAGAACGTTACGAAAGCTGGATGGCCTCAGAGGAACCCATGTTCTCATTCATAACAATTAACAAAACCACCTTTACTTTCAAAGGTATAGTTTAGAGTCTGCTGCAGATTTAGTTTGTTTTCATTTCATCTCTCTCTCACCAAGTTACTGAATTCATTCTATTTATCATTTCACAATTCTTCTGAGATGTTAATTATTGCATCAAAAATTAACATATTTTCTCACAAGTATGGTAAAATAGTTGTAAACTAGTACGGAATAGAATTACCAACGCGCGGGGCTGTTGTTCCAGAATAGCAGTTGCTGTTTAAATATAATTAATCTACTCTACTCAAATTTGATTGATATAATTAAACAAATTCGACTCCTACTTAGGAAGGAAGATATCTCTTTATTTCTTCTTATAAGCAATATTTGTGATGAAAATCATCAAATTAATTTCACATGTAGTCATTAGTAAATCGAAAGAGTGATTAAGGCGACTCATGGGCGACTTTTCACATCTCTAGTTGGAGTGCTTATCCACTACCAACATATACTTCCTGTTACCACAAACGTAATAAGAATTCTAGATACAACTTTATTCTACTTGAATTCTAGATAATTTTCATGAAATGTTTTCTTTAATAAACAGAGAAATATATAAGAATGACCTTAATGATTTGAAAGATGTATATACAAAATTGATATAGAATTTTTATAATTACAATTATATGATGAGCAAAGACAAATTTAAAATTTGACGACAATGAGGCACCACCAAAAATTAATGCATAATGATATAATTGGATGAAATTCGCTTTGCATATTAGTGATACGAGCAATACTTTGCATACATTAGGACTTAGGTTATCTATTTGAAATCTTATCCTCATCACCTTTTATGATTCATTTTAATTATCTGCTAAAAAGGAAAATAATGTAGCCGGCCAGACTCAAAACTCGGGTTTCGTTTCAGTGCTCAAGCGTCTAAGGGTCACATCACAATGACCAAATGACCGTGCAATAGATATTACCAAAAAGTTAAAAAAAATAAATATCTGATATATTTCTCAATTTTGTCATTTAAAATTGATATATTATAAAGTGACTAGGTGATGCATATATATTTTTATTATTACACAAATCGCTCACGTAGAGAAAAATATATTAAATTGATTTTTCAACTTTTTATTAAAAATAATAATTCATGTAGGGTGTATTTGGATCTTTCCAACACACATATTTTTTTGGCTATTTTTATTTGACTATTAATTTGAATTTATTATTTTTCATTAATTTTCTCGTAAAATTTATTATATATGCCCGAAAGATTTTTACAAATATAAAAACTAAATTACCATGAATTGACTTAAACCAAACACTTTTCCCAAAATTAACTACTCCCTCCGTTCCTATTTACTTGTCCATATTTCCTTTTTTAGTTGTCCATTTTGACAAATCAAGAAAAGACAACAAATTTTTTCCTATTATACCCTTATTTACACTTCTTGAAAATTGTAAAAGTGTATGTTGTTTCCCTCCAATTTATTTCACTTAATTCAAATAAGTGATTGTAATTTTGAAGTGAAAAGTTGTCATAAGGGTAAAATTGTAACTTCACTGTGCTAATCATTGTTGTCTTAATCTGTGTGTCATTTCTAAAGTGGACAACTAAAAAGGGACGGAGGGAGTATGATACACATGAACCTTCCACGTGGGTCTAATGATGACTCCTTAGAACATTTTTGAAAAAAAAAAAAAAAGACGAGAACAAATATGGTAAAGCAAAATTGATTCTTTGAATTCAAGAAAACTAAAAGGAGAAGGAAAGATCTGAAATTCCATAGGTTCAGCTGTAAGAAAAGATTTCTAGCGATTATCGCAGCTCTGAGCTCAGAAGCCATGGGAGCCTCCTTGCTTAGCTTCGAAAACCAGAGCTGGGTAACGCCAAAACAGCAAAAAAAAGGCTTTGAAGAGTCTGTCAGACAGCCATTAGACCATCTCAGGCACCTTTATTGGAGCTGAGAACGATCATCTACTGCGCCATGACCACAACGGCCATGGGTGCTGTTATTCACGCTCTAGTCTAATGGCTATGATTCATCCACCAGACTTGGTTTCCTGTCTCCTTAGAAATCAAGGATACAGTGGTACGAGCCTATAGAACAGATCCTGTTCAAGTAAGGTCGTGTCCATACTTCTCACCTCACTTGATTAAGTAGTATTCTCACCCTCAGTGTGTCGCCGATGTGGGACGAATAGAAATTTTTCTACTATTTTGAATTTAAGTTAACCGTTGATGTTATAAATTTCCACATCATATTGAAGATTTGAGAAATTCCCAATGATGGGAAAGAGGAGAAATTTGGTGTTAAATGGGTTGTCTGAATTGTAAATGAAATGCCGGAAAGAATTCTCTATATATTTGTTTGTGTGAAATTGAAAGAGTTAGCTTTGAATGTTGTTCTTCATGCTTTATTAGTTTGCATATTGATGTTCTTTCAGCTAAATGATGAGATGAAGAAAATGGTTGAGCAGCTAAAAGAAAAGAAGAAAGAGAGACAGGATTAAGCTCTCCTTGAAAGCAAGGTACTTGTCTAGCTACTGTTACCATTCATAGTAGAATCTTTCACATTTATATAGTGTTTTCCAGAGACAAAGAAAAATCCTGTAACCGTGCATGTATATTCTTGTCATTCAATTCAAGGCGATGTGCGAATAACTTTCACTATAAGTGTGGTGTCTTGCTTATTGAGTGGTGGTGGAAGAAGAAATGGAAGGGTAAGAGAATGTTTTGGGGTAGGGGTAAACTAGGGTTATAACCATCACTATAAACATGGTAACCTGCTTATCGAGTGTCAGGATGTATGTTTGCGTAAACTGTAAGAATGTGCAATGAGAGTTAATTGTGATTTTGATCAAAGGCACAAGAATAAATTATTTCAATTGTTTCTCCAGATAGCTGTTGTTTTTGAACTTGATTTTGATGCTTCTTGTATATATCTTGTTCTTTGTTGGATTCTGAATATGAGCTTGTGTATTACAATGTTCGAAGTCATTATAGCATCCCCAATATCTCACAAAATTCGGCCTTTGTCAGCTCTTCTGTTGTATGCTTCAATCCTTGTTGGGAAAGAAGAGCAAGACACTTATTTTGCTTGTATCTCTGTAGAGTGGAAAAATAATTCTTCCTTTCAACCTTCAATGGCTTATTCTACAGCTTTTATGTTCAGCCTTGTTTATACATCCTCTGTCCATGTTAATGTGCATGAGAACGATGAATATCATGTGGTTCGTATGTATAGAACTCTTTGTGTTGCAACTCACATGGAACTATGTTTATGCCTCTTTAAATGAACCTTACAATTATAATCAATGGGGTGCCGTTTTGCTGCCACTTTTATGTCATAATTACTCGGAGAACTTACTTGATCAAAATTACTCAGAGAACTTTGTTGCTGTGTTTTTGCCAAAACCATTCAGTAAGTTAGGGATAGAGGTGGCTACAATTCCATTTGAATTCTCAATGTTTAAATCAACAAAATTCAAGGATTATATGTGAGGCTCTCTTTCCATGTGTGATTGATTTAGTTGTTGAAGCACAATTTTATAATCAAAAGAAGTTCATCCTTTCATATTTCTTGTTGTATTCAAAGAGAATTGAATATAGGCTTTGTTAATTTTCCTTTTCTATTTCCAAACAGAAAAGGTTAGGAGAGTAATGCCATTTTGAGTTATTCACCCACATCTGCATCTAAGAGAACAGTGTAGCAAAAAAAGGTAGTATTAGTAATGGGCTGAGCTAACTGGGGAACATACTTACCTGGACGGGGTCACAATAAGACCTATTGCCTGACCTCCATTGCACTTTGGAGGGGTGCCTGCCTAAGGTCGGCCCAAGTGGTCGAGCCTACGTCATAATTTGTTGCCCTACCCCAAACCTTAATCAAATTTTTTTTCTTGTTCATTAAGTTTAAGATAAGAGAATTGCAACTCTGGATAGTCTAGAGCCAGAGCAACTGGGGTGTTTCTATTTCCTATTATGATTATGCCTCTTGAATGCTCGTCTTTATTATGTTCCTCCTAATTGCCATAGACTTAACTTTTTGCCGGAGGGAATGTCGGTGTCAGGAACATTGAGAGGTTAAGCATCAGTTTGAGGTTCGGGATTCAATTTAGTAGCTAGTCTTTAGTTAAACTTGGTAACATGACGATAAACTTATAGTGCTTCTGGTCTTATTGGGACATGGAAGGAAAAAGGGGGGAGGATCTATGTACAAGCTTGGGGATGCCTGTAAAAATATACTTATTCTAGTTATTGAACTAGACTCAGAAAAAACAATCAGCCAAAGCTATTGACAAAACTCGATCATGTCTCTCCAATGTAATACTGTTCAAATATACGGTCGTGTGGTACCTAGAACCTCAAAATCCTACATCCGTCTTTGTGATGCTTAGAATTTCATGATCAACTTATATAAATCAGTGTTCTTGTCTAAACAAAAATATAGTGATGAAGGACATCCCCCACACAACACAATCACCTTAGCTGAACTTTATTCTACCTGAGTTCCAAAAATGCCACAATTACTATTTGGAGAATGAAATCAGTATGGCAATTTTTTCATATGCCTATAAATATCAAATGTTTTGAATAGTTGATTATTATATTTTAAGTAGTTTCAATAAACTTAAAAATTGTATATCAGAATTCACAGTGAAAAATTTATACTTCTTTTCATAGTACTTGCGACTCGTGCCACATATAAAGCGAGACGGAAAATAACAACTAAGATAGCATTTTTGTTAAATTTTATTTTTGTTTATTTTTGCGTTGATGATAGTGGCTAAAGTGTTGCTGAGTGCAGTGGTATGAAGTAACAATTGAAATAATAGTGATGATAATTGTAAATACCTTTTGTCATCAAATATTATATCCCTAAATTATTTTTTGACATACCAAATTCATCGGCCTACTTAGTTACTATTATCAAAAAAAAAAAATACATCGGCCTACTTATAAAAAGAAAACCAAAAAAGATATACTATAAAATAAGTCCACCAAATTCCAGCTCACTGATAAGGATAATTGGATGTGCCCAACTCGATCACAATATATGTGACTTTTTTAGCTTTTAAATATTCAGACTATGTGGAGTTCGACTTGACATTTTTGCATCATAATAATATAAGAAAATAAAAATTGTTATACAATTTTTGAATATTTAAATTAATCTATAATTCAATTTAGCTTGGATTTATCAAATCAATTTTAAACTTGAAATATCAAGAAGGGAATATATTTGTCAAAACCCTGTCAATATCTATCAATATTTTTGTCGAAACACCTCTAGCAGGTACCATTACCAACCATTTGCTATAATTAAACTATCCTCACCTATTTTATCTGTCTACCGTTCTACTTGAACTATGATTGACTACCCTACTGCAAGTCATTTCTAACTTCTTTTTTAGTTACATTTAAACTAATAAAAGTACATAATCCAACAATTAATTAATGTTTATACATAATAACTACAAACTGAGGATAGAGAACAGTCAAAGTTGAACCTCCAATCAAAACTCTAACCATAAAGCTTCTTTTTATGACTGATACAGATTTTACTCATGCATTGAGAAAGGAAGTATTTGCAAACGATGAAATGATCAAAACATATGGAGTTCAAACACTAGCGGATGATATACTTTTATTATATTGATATTAAATTAATAATATTCGATAACATTGAAGTTTGTACTTTAATATCGTTATATCTTTCAAGAGTCATGCGCCAAACTTTAGCACTAAAGGTGTTTCACTGTCCTAAATTCTGGATCTGCCTCTTCTTATATGAATAGGAAAGATTCTTGTAAAAAATACAAGATTAGAAGATGTAATATTATTAGTTTCTCTATTGTCTAGGAATGTCCTTAAAAGAGCATTTATTTATAATGAGAGATTTATGTAATCATAAGAAACTTTTTAAAACCTCAAACATGACATGGACCTCCTCTTAATAGTACACAATTTCATTTTTTTTTCCATTACAAACATACATATAAAACCAACTAGACACCATCCATGGACCTATGCCCAAAAATAATTTTCTTTTATTAGTGAAGAGAAGTTAGCCTCACTGAAAAATAAATGGGGCCAAAGCCAGAAAAGTATCTTTGAAATTTCAAATTGCAACTCTCAGTAAGTGGACAAAATAGACAACTGTTTCCCAAATTATTAGTAATATTAGGCTGTTAAAACTAATGGTCCCATACCATGCCAATCCAATTCTTGACAACACAATCCTCTTCATATTTTCACAACATAATTTATATTCCTTTTTCGCCTAGTTATTTAAATACTTTATTTTTTGTTTATATTCAAAATTTAAAGTTGGTCTTTCCATCATAATTAGTATTAGTGAATTAAAAATTTATAGGATTAGTTAAAACTTAAAAAGAAATTCCACCAAGTGAGTGACAGATCATTCATCATGTGAACATCAGTCCACCCTGTTTCTTACTTTTCAAAAGGGCTGGCTGTGGCCTGTGGGGTTACAAGACTGTGAGAGAGTGTGGTTTTCTCTACTTACTTACTTACTTTGTGTATTTGCTTTGAAAGCCTTTTTTTTTTTTGGCCTATTGCCAACCATATCATTCTTTTTCCTTTCTTGTCTACTACCCCTTTTTCTTTAAAAATCTACTCAATCAGTTTAAGAAGGATCATTTCATTCAATTCTTCATCATCAATCTCTATACATGGCTACTGATACTGTTTCATCAGATCATCCAACTACTGTCTCTGAGGTAAGATTCTTCTGAATTCTCTTCTTGCTTATTATTTTTTAGCAGATATATATATATATATATATATATATATATATATATATATATATGTGTGTGTGTTTTGTTACTTTTAGGTACTTTTTTTGCATAAGAGTTTTGCAGCATATATATCCTTTGTTCTGCTTTTTCATAAGCTATTGCTATGTGTTGAGTTTTATTAGCAGAGAGTAAATTCTAGATTTTATGTTGTAAATTTTGATCTCTGAGTTTTTTCTAGCACAGAACACCTTATTGGTTGCTGCTATCTGTAAGCAAGTAAAAAGAGAGAACTTTAGTGTTCACAAGTGAATTTTACTTGTCTTCAGAACAGAAAACTAAGGAGTTTTTTCAAAGGAAGATGATGAAATTACTCTGTAGTAGTTTTTATTCATGATCATCATAACTGTAGAATTGAAATGAAATGTTTGATAGCTATGCTGGAATCTTGCTTTTGTGTTGATGTTCTGGGCTTTTAATTTCAGTATCCTTTTGACCTAGGAAGTAGCTTGAATGTGACAAAAGTTAGTATAGATAGTATTATATGCTGAGTTCACCAAAGAAAGAGCCAAGGGTGCTTTTTGTCAGTATCAATCTTTTTTGTGACTTGTGACTGATGAGGAAATTACCTAAATTTGTCCTCTTTTTAACTAGTTCAGATTTATGTTACCAAAACTCAGTTACATTAAGTTTCTTCAATGAAACTGATAGTGACCTTACCACACACACAAACTGAAAGCTTAATGTCAAGGATTTTATTCCTATTTTCAGTGCCCTTCTAGTTTCTTCTATTCTCATTGCTTCATCATGTTTACTGCAGCAAGCTGAGAAGGAAGTGCCTGAAGAGGTTAAGACTATGGAAGGAGAGAATGTTCCCCTTACCAAGGAGAATGACGTAAAACCAAAAGAAGAAGATTCCCCAAAAAGCGAATCAACAGTGATTGAAGAGCCAGAGAAGAATGAGGAGGAGCAAAAGCCAAAATCAGTGGAACCAGACTCCGAGAAAGTTAATGACGGGGAGAAGCCAAATGCAGAGGAATCATCCCAAGTGATAACTGAACAAGTGAAGAAAGATGAGAAGCCAATAGCAGGCGAAGCAGCCCCAGCGATAGTTGATGAGGTAGAGAAGTCAACAGTAGATGCACCACCTTCAGCAATCATAGAAGAACTAAAGAGCACTGATGAAGAAGAGAAGCAAAAAGTTGATGAGCCACAGGTCCTGGAAATTGAAGAGGTAAAGAAAGCTGTGGAGGAGCAAAAGCCTATTGCTGATGAACTAGTTCCTAATATAGTTGAAGAAGTAAAGAAAGCTGATGAGGAAGAGAAACCGACAACAGAAGAACCACCAGTAACTATCATTGAAGAGGTAAAGAAGAGTGATGATGAAGAGAAACCTAAAGCTGTTGAACCAATTCCAACAATAGCCGAAGAAGTAAAGATAGTTGATGAGCAGCCAACGATAGAGGAACCACCACCAGCCATAATCGCAGAGGTAAACAAAAGTGATGAGGAAGAGAAGCCTGAAGCTGATGAACCAGCTCCAACAATACTGGAAGAAGTACAGAAAGCTGATGAGGAAGTGAAGCCTAAAGCTGATGAACCAGCTCCAATAATAGTTGAAGTAAAGAAAGCTGATGAAGAAGAGAAGCCAACAATTGAGGAACCTCCAGCAACTATAATTGAAGAGGTAAAGAAAAGCGTCGAGGAAGAGAAGCCAATAGCTGATGAACCATTGCCCCCAACAGTTGAAGAGGTAAAAGAAGTTGATGAACCACCTTCTCCACCAGCCACAACTCACGATGAAGAGAAGCCAAAAGCTGAGGAATTGCCAAGCATACCTGCTACTTCAGCAGAATCAGAAGAAAAGACAGCAGACAAGGAAATTGAGCCTCCTACTGTCGAAGAAGTTAAGAAACAAGATGAGACACCTGCATTGGATGTCACTAGCAAAGATATTCCTGAACTTACCAAGGAATCTCCCCCTGAGCCAGAAGCTCAGATTATTCCTGATCAAGTTGCTGATATTACCAAAAGTGAACCAGAGGTCCAAACAGAGGCTGGAAATGTTGAAACTTTTGACAAAGAATCCAAAATAGAACCTGTCGAGGAAAAGCCTGAGCAGCAGCCAGCAACAGTTGACATCGTGGAAACACCAATTGAGGCTGTTGAGGACAAGAAGGAACAAGTAGATTTAGAGGCCAGTGAACCGCAAAAAGTTTTAGAGGCAGAAGTTCCAAAAGCAGAACCTAAGGAAGAAGCTTCAGAACCAGCTCCCATTGTAGAGAAAAAGCTACTGGAAGCTACTGAAAAGATTGAGCAAGAAGCTGCTGAGGCTGTTACCGGAAATGAAGAAGTGATACCAGTCGATAAGGCAGAAGAGGCCCCAAAAGAGGAACCTGTTGTTCCAGAGAGCTCAAATCAAGTAACCTCAATTAGTTTAGAAACACTAATGCAGAAAATGGACGAGGAAAGTCCTACAGAAGTTGCTGCAGACAACGTTGTCATTGAGGAGAAAGAAAAGGAATTGGTTCCAGAGGCTACAATTACTGAAGCACCACCAAAAGAAGAGGTGGAAAATGTCGAAAGAGAAATAAAGGATGTGAAAACTGTAGGTCAAGATGAGAAGGTGGAGAAGAGTGTTGCAACTGAAGAATTAGCTGCACCAGACGCAAAGGGAGTTGAAACATCTGAAGTTGCTGAAAAGGCTCCAGAAGTGGTGATTGCTTCCAGAGACATTGAACCAATTGCGGATAATGGGAGCTCAAAGGATGTCACAATTCCTACAATTGAAGCCAATGAAGCTGCAGAAGTTGAGAAGAAAGTGGATGAGAATGCTACTGCTGAACCATCAGTTGAAGAGGCTCAGAAGTTGGAGACAGAGACAAAAGATCTGAAGACTGCTGAAGGTGAGAAAGAAGTTGAGGAGACGGCAAAAACAGAAGCTCCTAAAGATGGTGAAGACAACAAAACTACAGAAGAAGTACCAGTAAAGACAAAGCAGTCAAATAACCTTATGTCCAAGGTGAAGCAGTCTCTTGTGAAGGCAAAGAAAGCAATCATTGGGAAGTCTACCGGCTCTAAATCTGATACAAAGAATGAAGTTAAAACCAAATAAGATAAAGGGAAGAAACATTACAATGATCATAAGTGAGTTGTTTTATTAGTTGTGTGATCTTTATTTTTCCTTTTCTTAAACCTTTTTTTTGGGTCAGATAATATTGGTTGCTCTGTTCGGGATGTCGTATGATTCTAGTGTTTGTCATAGGTATTGTATAGTTGTGCTTTCTAGTCATATGTGACTTTTGATTCAGTTTGTGAGTTTGTGGAGAAACCTATTCAATTGATTGGATGATGATGATGATGATGTACATAAAGTGTCATATTTTCTACATGTAGGCTTTCTTGTTCTTGCTGCAAATCCTTTTTATTGTTGCTTGTTAGGGTTCAAAAATCTGACTACTTATTTAGTCAGTCATATTAATGTGGAACTGTTTGCACATCCAATATAAATGTGGTATCCATTTTTTTGAAACAAAAAGTATATATGCATTGAGGATCCAGCATATATAAAAGTAGAAAAGAAGTGATGAGGAGACACACGTCTCATCCTTAAAAAGGATGCTATGCACAACACAATTCTCATCACAGGAAATTAATGGACTCAAAACTGGGGCATGAAGCTACATGTGCAATAAATTCACTATCAAGCTGGATTAATGACGTGAAAAGGACTGCTTCTTTACACTTTCTACTCAATTGAAGTTTTTAAATCTTATACTAACCCACTTTTAAGGCTTGTGTCAAGTTCAACTACAGCTGCAATAACTCCTTTTTTCCTATCTTTTTCTTTGTAGCTGTTATATAGAGAATCAAGAACATTAGCAGGATGATAAAAGCAACTCAGCATGATTTTTTTCTTCTTTTCATAACAATGGCATTTAACAAGGTAACTCTACCCATCAAGGCAAAGCTGAAAAGAATCATTTTGTTTTCCCTTCTCCCGGTAAAAGCCTTCTTTTAACCTTAGCCTAAGCTAATAGGAACAAAATTTGTTGAGAAGTTGAAGGGAGCCAGAATTTGAACTTGATGGTTTCAGTCTTTATATAAATGCATGGAGAAAATTACCAATAATGAGGTTGCAAAATGGTCTCAAGAGAGAGTAGGCTCACATGGATATTGAAAGTACAGGTGAATATAAGAGAAATGCTTGCGCTATTTTATTATTTGAAGAACGTTGATTTCTGATACACACTACACTGTTGAGATGCCAGGAAGAAGTCCACTCCCTGCTTTTACATATCTTTGATGTTTACATTGGAAGGAGAAAATTATGGTCTCTTTACATTACCAAAAACTGTGCATGCATTTGTCTACATTCTGATGGCTGTTGCAAAACCAACTTTCATTCTGAAACTCTAACAGGCATCTCCGGTAACAATAAATTCTCAGAACTGCACATCGGTTGGAGTTAAAAGGGGCTACCTTCCACTAAATGAGAAAATGACTTCTTCCCTTGGATGGAACCAAACCGACATTTGATCAGAACCTACAGTTGTGTCTACAAACTGGGACCTGCATTCAGTGAAATACTCAATTATCTTCCAGGTCATGTAGACAAAAGGAAGGAACATATGTACAACAAAGGGTGTTTGTTTTGGCAGAGATTCACAATATAATAGGGAAGAACTACATCTTAGCATCATAATGAATGAAGTTATTCTTTTCTAATACAAACTCACCAGCTTCATTTCCAGGCACATTTGTTCAGTTGGTCAACCTATTCGCTGCACTATCAATAACATCTGGGAGTTGGTCATTTTTTTGTGCTGATTTTTCCAGAACTTCATTTGTTGCTTGTACCTGGTATAGCAGGACCCGAGATAATACAGAAGCAGAACTTTACAGTATTAGTAATTGGCCCTCAGCTTAAGAAACAGAAGAAGAAAGAAAATAAGCCAGAGTCACAAGAAACCAATTATCTCAAAATGATCCAGATGAAGTTAGAATTTCTATTCGAGACAGCTTTGTTTGCACCCTGATATTATATCTGGTACCTGCTTACCCACCAGCAAAGGATATTGGATAACTATATCCACCAAGCCTTAAGCAGATGAGGAGACGAAAAACGCTAGGTGATTTCTCCCTTGGTGCAATATAGTCTGGACAGTATTTAACCATTTTCTTGAAATTGTTTTCAAGTTTCTTATCTATTTAAATATGTATAGAGTATCACATGGTGGTCTCAAATTAAAGTTCCAAATCCTGATACCCCTTAATTATGCCATGACTACGACATTTACGAGTATCAACCTATGAAGAAAAAATAAACTGTTATAGAAACCAATCTTCTCATTTAGAATGATCTTTTCTTTGTTGAATTAGCCTAGGATCCCATCGAACTCTTGCCATCTTTATAAACAGAACCACAAAATAAAAAATAGAAACTACTTCAAGCAGTAGAAAAGCAATTGTAATATCTCTAACTATCATTTCTTTCTCTTTATCTTCTTTTTCCTGATCTCCTGTTCAATAGATAGAAAATCATAATTCTTTGATAAAAACACACACCTGACTGCATGTCTGATTCTGTGGGCGGCTAGCTTCAGCATTTTGGACTATCTGTGAGTTCTTGTGTACTGGAGTTTTGGAATCCAAATTCGGTGGTGCACTCCGTATCTCCACTGGAACTCCTGCCCTTGCAACATTCATAGGAACAGCAGCACCAGTTGATGGTTGCCCTGCCAAAGGACCTAGAGATGCTCGAGGAATTGACATTGGAAGTCCTTGACCAGGATGTGCATAGGCGTGACGATTAGATACAGCTATTCCTGGATAAGCGGTGGAAGCAGGAATAGGAGGTGAGGGAAAATGCCCTCCTTGCACAGAGGGCATTGGATACATGGGGTAGCCAGAAGATCTACCATTCATCTCAAGCATACCCATCCCAAATCCCATCCCCATACCCATACCTAAACTCATTGGGGCGAAATGTGGCATCTGGGCTCCATGCATGTGCTGCACTCCTGTAGGGAACATCATTGGCGGGACGCAAAACCCTGTTCCCATAGACATTATCTGCAAAATAAACAAATGGGATGAGGCAGTTAGCAATTGTAGTTATGACTTTAATTCCCAGTTCTTAAGAAGCAAAATGCACAAGCACAGAAAACCGTCATCTAACCTGTACTTGCAGTTGAAGTGTCTTCAAATATTCAATAGCTTCATCAAGCATTGAAGCTTTATCCGCCTAGCAATCAATAAGGAAACCCATCAAAAAGATTGAAAATGAGAAACTATAGGTGATGGCTAATTTTAAGATTACCAGCAACACTTCATCAAACAATGTCAGTTCCAAGGGAACTTGAAATATATAGTATAATATCAGAAAAATCTTATTATAGCTTATGCATTTAGCTCAAATAAATAATCACATTTTCTGAGTTTTTTAACTAACTCGTAAAGCTGATTGCTTGATGACATATGGTTTTTAAAAAAGAATGGACATAATGATAGAAATCAAACTTGTCAGCATGACTTTAACTTATCCAAGATTTTTCATACCTTGTTGCAGTTGGGTATTAGTTCCTGTAATGCACGCATCTTTTCATTAATCCTATCCCTTCGCCTCTGTTTGCAGAAAATGAATAAGAAAAGCATTTAGATCCAGAATGTCTCAACAAGATCTACAACCAGAAAATGCAAAAAATCACAGATGATGTGGTAATGGTTTGCTCACCCGCTCAGATAAATTATGCACCTCTGCAGCTCGGCTTCTCTTTGAACCTGTACCTCCTCGAGCAGCACAAGTTTTTTTTATACCAACAGATTCTTCTTCAACATCCTGAACAAAGATATGTCCTTGTCAGACTGTTGAACATCCGGACAAAGAAGTAACATACTACAAAACAAGGTTAAAATTTAATGGCCTTTAAACAATACACTTACTTCACTTCGACACTCGGACTCCTCATTATCTCGGGTTTTCCTCTTTATGTTAAGAGGCTGATCACTTGATCCTCTCTCTGCACTGCTACCAGAACATACAGATGAGCAAGCAACCCCATGTTCAACATTTCTCTCACCATCGGCAATATCCTTGGTTGCCTTAGCACCGGTAAATTGATCACGGGTGTTTTCATTATTACTTGAACAATCTCTGAATGCATTATCAGACTGTTCAACCTGACATGATCTATCATGAAAGCTAGCTCCAGATGGTCTTGACTCGAGTTGAAAAGGTACCCCATTAGTTGGATAATGGGGAACATTATCCTTCTTGGAAGTAAAGTAGTTTTCAGTTGCTGCAGCACTAACATGATTATCACCAATTGCCACTTTTTCTCCTCCTTTTTTTCCCTTTGCTTCTAAGATAGGTGAATCTGAGACATTTGAACCGCCAGTACTACTTTGAAGCTTAGCTGCTTTAACAAATGTAGCAGGTCTTGAGAAATGCGAGAAGTTCAACAAATTGGACCTATTTCCAGGCATGTTTTGCTTTTGAATTTTATTGCTTTTAACATCACCAGCTGAAGCTTTACTTTGATTTGAATCCCCCAAAACAGACATTGGAGTATTGCTATTTTTACTGCTAAAGATATCTGAAACTCCTGATTCTAGGGTAGGTATTGACGCATGACCTTTCTGAGATGGCAATGAACTTAACGGGCTAAATCTGGAAGAGGGAGATACCTTTGATGTATTTCTTTGCTCAAAATTCACAGCATTATGAACAGGAACACTATGTGAATCCCCAATCATCTTGTCAGAACTACCTCTCTTATTTATTAAACCAAATACACTCTGTCTGGACTGTTCATTTGCCGTCACACCAGATATTTCAGGTAATAGTTGAGCACAATAATCTTGTTGCAGACTGTCATCTGCTGGATATCCTAACCAAGGCACCCCTTCATCCTCTTGAATCAAATCTAATTCATCAGTGGGCACAGATAATGACATATCATTCAACATGGTGTCCATCAGACCAAACTTCCCAATCTTAGAGGTTGATGAATTTCCCGTGTACTTGTCTCGATCCCCTGAGGCACTCGACTGAAGATTATTAGGAACAGTGCTTTTCTTAGCACTACTGGACTGTCCTTGCATCACAATCTGACCATTTTGCCATTTAAGCTCAATCAAGTCGTTCTCAGGACTGCATAAAAAACAAGCAAAATTCTCAAAACATAGCAACAAATAACTAGCTAACTATTAATTAACTGGTTCCAATCATAAAAGAGCATAAACAAGATGCAAAATGGGAACATTTTTTTTAAAACATGAATTGCAAAATAGAAGCTTTACTCACAAAGAAGACAGATTTGTGGTAGATGAGATCTTCTGCTGGCCAGATTCAAGCTTCCCAATAGCCATTTTCAAGAACTCAGAGAGAGGCATGATGAACAAGTGTGATAACTGCTACTCAGAATTGATCTATGTTTGGGCACTCAAGCATTATTAGGAGCCCTTCCACACCTGGTCCAGTAACACTTTTTTTTCAACAACAATACAAACATTTTAAACCTTATTCAAGCATATAATACTGTAAACCAAAAACTGTTTCCTTAAACAAATGTCCTAATCAGTAAAATTATATAAAACCCATAACAGTAGTAAAGATATAAATATTAAGTTACCAGTCAAATCCCCCAATTGTTTAATGAGGCTTAATTCAGATACTTTAAAATAATACACCAACCAACTTGAGCTTTCTTTGAGTTAAAAAGTTCAATTCTTTTTATTCAATTTCAATCATTAGAGTATAAAACCCTTCAAGATTTCCTAAATTAATTAACAACCCACAATTATTTATACACTAATACAAACAAATAGTTAATTTAAAACAAAACCCACCTCTTCAAAAAAAACACCAAGATTAACACTCAGCTCCAAGATCAGTTCACTAAAGTAGAAAGCTCTCACCCAAAAAAGAAAAAAAACACCCAACTTTCTGCAAGAAAATCTTATTCTTGAACTAGTATTTTCCTCAAAGATACATTTTTTTTTCTTGAAATCACCAATATTTGGGTGTCCACATGCTCAACATAGCATTCCGAAAAAGTGGAAAACTTCACAGCTAAACCCAAGTCACTTGGGTTTTTGAGCTCCAAGATAAACAACTGCACTTCTTGAAAATATAAAGAAGATTTAGAGAGAGAAGTAAAAAAATATTGCAAAGTGAGGATTTTGGGGAGTAGTAGAAGGCGGCGAAAGGCTTGCGAATTTGCAGGTGGCCGAGGGACGAAGGAACTCTCACTGTATATTACTGAAAGCACAAAAACGTATAGCACTTTGCCTTATAACTTAAGAAAGAAAAAAATGCAGAGTATAAAAAAAGCTTCCAAATCTGTTTTGTCTTTAACCATGGTAGACAAAAGTACACTTAATAACTTAACCGCGGTTTGTTTATCCTTTTAGGAGTAGTACTTGTTACTTAATATTCTTTGTTTATACTCCCTCCGTCCATTTTTTTTTTTTTACTTTGGGTCAGTTTTTGTGTACTACGACTAATTCTACATGATACCTTCAACCTTCCATTAGCAATAGATATCATGTAATTTTATCTATCAAGGCTAAGATAGATGGGAAAAAAATTACCTAGTGATTTTTTGTTTCTATTAAATTTTGAACTTAATACCTCGGGTTCTCAATTACTTTATTGACACTTAAGCCACACACTTAATCTGAAAAATTAGAGATACTTTATTATTTAATTTTAATTTATTTTTACTATTAATCATAGTTATTTTTTAAAGTATTAAATTTATTATATTCAAAAATAATATGGTAAAATTATCATTTTATTTGATGTTTGTTGAGAAGGGGGTGTCTAGTAAGTCGAAATGAATGACATACTTTTTTTTTTGTGAAAAGTCCAGAACTTCATTTATTAGTTTTTAAATGAATTACAAGAACTTGCGATTTTTAATTTTGTAGATATACGTTCCTATTTAAACTAAATAAAAAATATGTTCGATTTGATTCGATTCTTATCTTTTAATTTAGTTTTTGACGTTTCAATTACCAATTCTTTTTCTTTGGCAAGACAATATAATAAATTATATTATACTAATTAGAAGACGTTTTACGTTGCATATCTTGTTATCAATACGTTCTCAATGCCTATTACAATTCTTGTTTTATAATTACAACAAAATGTACTTAAAAATGGGGTAGAGAAAATAACGAAGAAAATTATGAGATGATAAATCGAATCATCAATTCATCATTAATAAAATAAGTTATTAAAATTCTCTAATTACAATCTATCGTACATTAGAATACGATATAAATATTTTGAGTGCCTCGAATAATGTGATATCTCATAGAGGACAAATTCTTATGCCTCGTCATTACAACTCAATTTTCTTCCTATGTGCTTACTATACATTTAACAAAAGGTGTGAACTTTTTCCTGAATACCTTTTCTCCCTTTTAGTTTTTGTCCTCTATAGTGTTGTCATGGTTATTCTATACAAACGAAAATTCTATTTTCACATTTTAAAAAAATGATTGTCCTAAAAATAAGTTCAATTTTTTTTACCGCGAATATAGAAACACTGATACCTAATAACCTACCATCAACCATTAAAAGGAAAAACTTTGTGAGAGCATTATGTCTCTCTCATTTGCTACTTTCCCCTTAAAAGTCGAAATCGAACCAAACATGTTGTTGGCTGACTGTCATTTCATTAACCTTTTCTCAAGATAACATTGATTATATATTGTGAAAGTCTAGTACTATAATGGATGTGCTTTTCTCAATCAGGAAACAAAAAGACATTTAAACCTCAATTTTATTGCTACAAAAATTGGTTCTTATTTGGTGATGTGATCTTCATACTTGGTTAATTTAATCAAATACATGAAATTGAATATATGCATACGTAGGGTTGTCATCTCTATTGAGAAGAACAGGGCGGAGCTGGTGTAGAATTTACGAGTTAATAGAGAAGAATAGGACGGAGCTGGTGTAGAATTTACGAGTTTGGTCAAATTGTGTAGCTTTAATCCAGATTTTATATTTGTTTTAAGAAAATGGTTAATATATATATATATAATATTATAATAACTTAGAACTCAGTAATTTTAATAGAACTAGAATATTGAATTTATAAACCTCAAATTATGTCTCTAATCGAGAAGCAATGTGTAGGCTTACATATGAGGAAAAAAAATTATTGTGATTAAATATTTGCCCTTTGTTATATTTTTCAATATATTTGTCCTTTTTATTCAATTCTAGGGTCATATTTACTCTAATACTCTGAAAATTATCATATTTACCCCTGCGACGTTTAATTCTCATGTCATCAATATATTTGTTCTCGTACAAAAAGGGTCATATTTGTCATTATACTATAAAAAATGGCCATATTTACCCTACGACATCAAATTTGCATGTCCTCAACATATTTGTCCTCTTCATCCAACTTTGAAATTATATTTGCTCTTGTACTCTAAAAAAAATAAAAAAAAATAAAAAAAAAAAAAAAATATATATATATATATATTGCATTAAATTCTCATGTCTCACCTTAATTTTCTATATAGATCCCTTGGGACATACTTTTTTTTCAATTAATTTACTACCTTATTTAATAAATGGGTTAATATATTTTTTCCCAGTAAATGCGCCAATAGATTTAATTGAAAAAAAATAATATGTCCCGTAACTCACATAAGAAAATTAAGGTGGAAAATAGGAATTTAATGTCGTAGAGGTAAATATGACCATTTTTTTTAGAGTACAAGGCAAATATAATCCTTTTTTAGAATAAAATGACAAATATGTCTCTTTTTGAGAGTATACGGATAAATATACGGATGACATGAAAAGTTAACGTTGTAGGGATAAATATGACTCTTTTTAAGAGTATAAGGACAAATATGACTCTAAAGTCAGATGGAAAGGATAAATATGTTGAAAAATATATTAATCATGCATGTACCTTCAATCAAAATATTTATTGAATAACTATACTAACAAAAAATCAATAGATAAATAAAAACACACACATGTTTTTGTTTTTACTAAATTTAAAAAACTCATTCTGTTGCCCCTATTTTGAGATTCTTAACATGGGTTTTTTTTAAAATTTATTTTAGATGTTTCCTTTGTTCTTACTATACTTGTAAGTTGTAAGTACCAATTAATCATTTTCGCTTTATTGTCTTTATTTTTTTTTCCTCCTTCTCATTATTAGAGAGAGTGGGAAGAGATGGAATCCTATTAGAGAAAAAAATAATAACAAAAGGCTATACTTCTATTTTATTTTTCATCTATTGTTCAACTACTTGTATTAAAACTTAATTAAATTCAAATTCGTCTATTGTAGAGCCCAATTTTAGAGACAATACTCCCAACGAGATCTTTTCCATCCCCAGAGGCTCTAACTCGAGACCTCTTATTAAATAGAGGAATCTCACCATTCCACCAGAACCCAAATTAGTAGTTAGCTAGCTAACATCAAAACTGCAATTGAAAACCGTACCCTAAACATGGATCCGTAGGTTTTCCTGAAATTGAATGTGCATATATAGTTGAAACTGAGATTTTCTTCGTACGCATTTATTGGCTTCCCATTTAATTTACATACATATTATATAGTTTATTTGGTTGTCAAAAAAAATAAAAATTATATAGTTTATTTATATTTTTAGTCGATTTATTATAAATCATAGTAGTAGTTTGATAAGGTGAGAAAGTGGTGCATTGTGTCGTCTATGTTCTGTGTATCTTGAAAAAAAACATATCATATTCGGAGTATTTAATAATATTATCACTTTGAGATGCTCCTTATTTTCATTTAATTATTTTCACTGTTTTATAGTTCTAAAGGTTTTGCGCAAAAATATTAGTATATTATATAGAGTTTAATATTTTTAAGGTCAACAATATTGCATCATTAAGCATGTGGTACAGTTGATGTGCCCCCCTTGTTCTTTCCTTTTTCGATCATTTCTAATTTATTTTTTGGGAAAAAGGTCAAAAATACCTCTCAACTTTGTTTTATTGGTTGACAATATCCTTATCGTTAAAGTGACGTTATTTTTACCCCTTCCCCGTTTCTAATTTCACCATATATATCCCTCATTTGACGGAAAGCCCCAAATCAACGAAAATTATCCAATTTCAATTAAAATGACCCGTTTTTCTTTTAATCCAAACCCGACCCACTAAACCAAATTAATTCAAACTCAATTAAAACCCCAAACCCCATTTGTTTAATCTTCTTCATCTCCTTCCAAGGTACTTTGCTCATTTTTTTTTGGAACAATTTCATCATTTCATTTTTAACATGGGAATTAATAAAACAAAGCATCACCAAATATATAAAGTGCTTAATACTGTCACATTTGGAATAACACAAATTGAAAGAAAGAATAATGTTCACCCAAAAATTAATAACTAAAAATCATTAAAAAACAATAAGATGGTCGGAGTTTGAAATGAGAGTCAAATAATTCACCTGAAATGCAGTAAAATATAACAACAAAAAGAGCAAAACAATAAAAGAAAATAATTTTTGACGGAGTTGATTGTTGTTGTCGAAGCTGGAATGCTAATGAGTTTTGATTTGCTGAAAATGCAGATCTGCAATCAGCAAAACAAACAAAATCGTGAAACAAAAGGGGAAGAGAAGCAGCAATGATGGTGGTTGCTTGTTGTTGTTGGGTTTCACGAGCTCATGGAGTTGAGGATGTTCGCGGTGATTTTTTCGTGTCGATGAAGCGATGGCGGAACAGGTTGTTTTGGGGTGGTGATTTCTAGCGATTTGGAGGTGAGTGGTGGTTATTTGGAGGTGTTTCCGATGTGGTTCACCGGAGTTTCTGGTTGGAGAAGGAAGATGGGTTGAGGGAAATCGACTAGTGGGGTCGATTTGGATGTTTTCTGGTGACATTTTGGCTGAGAAAAAAAGCAGTAAAAAGTGGTCTGGTTTGTCGGAGTTACCGTCTGGTTATGAGGTGGTTTACAAATTGTTTTTCGTCGGAGTGGGCTGGTTTCAGGTGGATTTGATCGCCGGCCGAAAAGTGGGTGATGGTGGTTGTGAAAACGGAAAAAATGGGATCGTTTAGGGGTGGTTGTTTGGTGGCTGGACAACAGCGTAGAGAGGAGAGGCTGGTCGGAAAAATGGGAAAACAAAGGCTGAAGTTATTGCTTCTTCCTCCCCTATTTCCCTTTGCTCATCTCTTGGGTTAAGTGTTAGAGGGTCGGGCATGGGTTAAAAATGGGTAATGGGTCCTTTTTTTAAGATCCAGGTTAATTTAAGTTGAT